ACAGGGGAGTCCAGCGACATAGCCATTATGCTAACTGCTGGTCCCAAAGAAGAAATTTTTTAAAAAAAGAACTTTGGGAGTAAGACAACAATGAATTTTTTTAAAAAAAGAATTATTTATTTATTTAATCCTATTTGTTATTATAATTATTATTATCAATTTGACCAGACAGAAAGAGAGAAAGAGAAAATGAGAAAGCAAGCCACCAGGTCCGGGACTCAAACCATGGTCAGCTGTGTGGGAGTCCAGCACCTTAACCATGGCCATGCCGCAATCCCTTCTCCTCCATTCTCCTCTCAGGATCTTGGGCACGCACGCACACGCACCCGGCGTGAGTTTTAAGCTACCAGGACGTGAAACGCGGTCGACTACATGGGAGTCCAGAGACATAGCCATTACGCCAACTGCTGGTTCCCAACAATGAAATATTTTTGAAAGTATAATAGCCAACTGCACCTTGTGGTTTGCTGAGCACGCAGTTTCCTTACACCTCGAAGCCCCACCAGGCTACGAGGCGGCATCCTTCTTCCCTCTTACAGCTGAGGATGCCGAAGTCAGAGGCTGTGACTTGAAGAGCATGCTCAGGGCAGGGCATGGCACTGACCCCAAATGTGCCAACAGAACAGATGAGGAGGGACCAGCAGTTAGCATAATGGCTATGTCGCTGGACTCTCATGTAGCTGACCACGGTTCGAGTCCTGGACCTGGCGGCTTAAAATCCCGCTGGGCACGTGTGCGTGCGTGCCCAAGATCCCGAGAGGAGAATGGAGGAGAAGGGATTGCGGCGTGGCCATCCCCTCTAGGGGATGATTTCTCGCTTTCTGTCTCTCTGTCTCTGTCTTTCTGGAGAGTGCAAGCGCCCTATAGCAAAAGCCTCCAAAAAAAAAAGAAAAAGTGGGGAGAAGCAAGTGGACCCCACAGCTGACCTCTGCCTACCTACCCAGAAGTCATGCTCCACGTGTGTTTAGTAACTCAGAGAGATAGGAGCGGGGTGAGGATGGCCTTCAGGGGGTGAAATAAGTTACCGTATACGAAAATGAAATAAATGATGCCTTGCTCAACAATAACATTAGTGGTAGAAGAACTTATGTGACAGGGGAAAGAGGGGGAAATAGTATGGAAAGAACCAGGAAACGAAATCCAACCAGTTGCTGTTTATAACTTAGAGATACATAACAAAATATACACAAATCTTAAAAATAAAATGCTAAACTCAACTCTGTCATGCAAATTCAAGGAAAGCAAGAGGCTCCAAGGAGGACATTTGGAAGAGAATTTCAAGCTAGAGGCGTGAAAAGAGGCAACAGAGCACCGAAAGGCATCGTTTTCCAATCTAGCGCTATTAAATATATATGCCCCAAATAGCGTACTTTATTGACAATGTATACCCTGCTTATTTCTCGGAAAGGATTTGAGAGAACTACACAATGAACACAGCAACAACATACATAAAAGAAAAACACAAATTAAAAGTGAAATAGAAACGTGAATAAAAACACATAAAATCAGACCAATCAGATCAGGTAACTGAGCGTTCTGAACCACTTTAGGGTCGCAGAACCTTTTCAAAATATAGTGGCTGGCGTAAGCACTCTGCCAGAACAACTCATGGAGCACGTATGTGTCCAGCTTGCTCAACCCCTCGGGGTCCATGACCCTTCATATCTCTGCCTGTTCAGATCCCAAGGCAGTCCATGGACCCAAGGTCAAGAACTGTGAAGTGTAGGGACCAGCAGTTAGCGTAATGGCTATGTTGCTGGACTCCCATGTAGTCGACTGCGGCTCGAGTTCCGGACCTGGTGGCTTAAACTCACACTGGGCGTGTGTGCGTGCATGCCCAAGATCCCAAGAGGAGACTGGAGGAGAAGGAATTGTGGTGTGGCCATCCACCCTGGGGGGGTGATTTCTCGCTTTCTGTCTCTCTCTGTCTGTCTGACGAGCACACGCATCCTATAGCAAAAAAAACCTCTCCAAAAAAATAAATAAATAAAACTGCGAAGTGTAGAGCCAGCAGGTGGCATGGTGGTTAAAGTGCTGGCTTCCCACATGGCCAACCGCAGCTCGAACCCTGGACCCGGCAACTGAAACTCACACGGGTCACTTGTGCATACATGCCCAGAATCCCAGGAGGAGGATGCAGAAGGGACTGGGATATGGTTATCCCACCTGAATGGTGACTTGTCACCTTCCCTCTCACTGTCTCTCTCTGGTGAGCACACATACCTTACAGCAAAAACCTTCAAAAAAAAAAAAAAAGAAAGAAAGAAAAAGTTTTCCAATGTGAACAAAAGTTAGATTTGAATAAAATAACCAAAATTTAAAAAGTGACTTAATAAGTAGAACTGGTGGAATAAAACCACAATTTTTGTGAATACGCAATTTTTTTTTTTATAAAAGTTGATGTTTTATTCAAGCCCAAAGAAATTTCATGGACACTTAGAAACGTGGGCACCATAGTACAATAAGAACTAAGCAGCAATGACCACAGCATTTCCCACTTGGAAATATGATAATAACACTTAGGCCAAAAGGAAATTCCTCATACTTTAGCAAAAATACATGTGGAAACTTACAGAGCACAAAGCTGGAAAAATACGGCAAAAAAAAATTGACCAAAGTACCTCCATTTACTAGAAATATTAAAAATATGACTATATTTTATATCCAAATAATTATAGAGTTTTAAAGCATTAAGCCAAAACAAGAGAGAGAGAGAATACATATACTTTGACAAAACAATTAGATTAGTAAACAAAACCGAGAGTTGGAGTTTGGTAACAGTTCATATCTAAATAAACCACTGCCGTAAGAGGAAAAATATGACAATTAAATTAAAATATTATTATTACCAGAGACGATCTCTCATAACGTTATATTGAGAATCTACATAAAATGAAGATTATTTTTAAAATAATAATAAATAGGCCCAGCCAGTGGCATGGTGGTTAAGGTGACTAGATCTGAGATGCTCACTCACAGATCAAGCCCCGGACCTTGCACCGGGCACATTTGTGTGTATTCTTAAAATTCTGAAAGGAGGGAGAAACGGGGGAGAGAGGATTGTGGGGTGATCACACCCCCATGGGAGAGGGTGGCTTCCTCTCCCCTCCAACCCCCACAAGAGCAAGCATCCTCTGGCAAAATTAAAAAACAAAAACAAAAAACAAAAACCAGAAGCCAGGGCCCTGGTGGTTCAGGCGGCTGGATCCCAGAGGATCAACGGTTCAGGTCCGAGACCACGGAAGCGGAGTGCATGCGTGTGCATGCCCAGAATCCTGAGAGGAGGGATGAGTAGAGAAGGGATTCTGGAATGACCGTGCCCTGTGCAGCGTGCTCTTACTCTCCTCTCCCTCTCCCCCTTCCTCTCTCTGGGGAGCATATCTGCCCTCTGGCAAATTTTTAAAACACGACAAACACACTGGGACCAGCAGCTGGTGTAATGGCTGTGTCGCTGGACTCCCATGTAGCCGACCGTGGTTCGAGTTCCGGACCCAGTGGCTTAAGCTCACACCGGGCGCGCGTGCATGTGTGCCCAAGATCCCAAGAGGAGAATGGAGAAGGGATCGCAAGGGAGCGCGCCGTGGCCATTCCCTCTGGGGGTGATTTCTTGCTTTCTGTCTCTCTGTCTTTCTGGCGAGTACACGCGCCCTACAGCAAAAACCTCTCAAAAAAAAAAAAAAAAAAACCCAAAAAACAAACAAAAAAACCCCACAATAATACACACAAAAACAGTGAAAGAATCTGAACAGAAGAAACTAGAAACATACCACTGTGTTCATACTTCCAAAATAGTCCTGGTCTAACCACGTTTGTGTGAGAATCTATGCACCCTTGAATGATGGGGCAGGGGGGGCACCTTAGTCCCCAAGTTGAGAAGGGGAGGCGGGAGGAGGAGAAAGTGCATATTCCACTATGTGAGAACAGCAAAGGTGAACCACAAGCCCCTTGGAGTGAACATCTAGAGTACAGAGCAGGGGCAGTTTGAACTCCCCGGGGCTCATTCATGGGGGTCAATCAGATGGGCCGAAACAAGCGTTTACGTGCAGAAAAGCTCCTGAAGGTTGGTTTTAAGGAGAGTGGTGACATGTGCAAAATGATGCTTTAAAAAATCAATTTGGCCGGGATGTGCAGGAAGCCTGGGGAAGGAGACCAAAGTCAGGCGACAGACACTTGCCCAGTAAGGACAGGCTGGCTCAAGGCAGCTGAGGTGGAATGGGGGAGGGGGTGTGAAGTGGAGGTAGATCTTCAGGGCCCCTTGCCTGATGCCACCTACCGTCCCAGTGTCAGGAGGCATTGTCTCTTCACTCTTGACAAGTGACTGAGGACCCTCAGGGTACCGGCCACCTGCAGACGGTGGGCAAGGCTGTCCAGCTGGTGGGGCGGAGGTTCTGGGGAACACTGGCTTTCCGGCTCTTTGCTCCACGCTCATGCAGCAGAGGCAGGGGCTGGCCAGGGGGGGCGGCCCGGACACCTGCTATCATCTGTCCAGCCTTCACCTTCGTTTTCAAATCTCTGGCCTGCGAAGCCCAACTTACCAAGTGACAATTAAGGCTTTCCTAGGTTTATTCGTCAGAACTGTATGTCCTGCCGTGCTGAGCTTCTGATCAGACTTACCAGGATGAGTGCATGTGACTCCAGCCAAAAACTTCTGGAAAACTCAAAAACAGGTCAGACTGCTTCTTCCTCCACTAGCTCTGAGAAGCCTGGGGAGAACCAGCAGTAAAGAGCTTCCCATAGCCTGCGGTGGACCCTTTATTAATGGCCAGAGGACTTCAGTTTCTGAGCCCATTCGTGGGGGCCAGGGGGCAAGGGGTCCTGAGCCACAAAGGCCTTCAGGCGCTGCTCGCTCAGAGTGACCTTTGGAGGCTACCGGGGATTGCATGAGCACCCAGGACCGGCTCACAGCCTGGCCACACCGACCATCGGGGAGCTTTGAAAACATACCACCGCTGGGGCCCAAACCCTGGGGACAATGAGTGGTTTGCAGGAGGCAGGCGATGGTACTTTGAAAAAATCCACAGGCGAGGCCGGAGGGGAAGACAGGGACAATGTGGGAGCATGGGCACCGGTGGTGGAGGCTTGGAAGCGTCCATGTGGGGTGTCGCTGCATCACCAGCTACAGGCTGTAGGGGGGAGGGAAAGTCACGCAGTGCTAGCCCTGCTGTGACGGAAGAGCCCCATTTCCCGGGGACCCTCCTCTGGTCTGCACGAGGTGGGGTAGGGGCCGCTCTGGGTCTGTCCTCAAATGCTACCAGAGACTGCTCGGTTGCCAAGGCACTTTCACAAGTGGCCTATTTCTGATTGGGAACCCTGCCCCCTGCCTCCCGCCCCCCGACTTACAGGTCTGTGGCCAGGTCCCATCACCCCTGTCACGAGGATGAAAAGTCAGAGCCTCACGAGGCTGTGGGACCTGCTCAAGGTCATGCAGGTAAGAGAGGGCAGAACTTGGACTGACCTGACTGAACCATGGCCTCCTCCACTGGGCCACCCCACTCCCCACACCCCCTGAGGCTGGAAACGGGCCCTGCTAATGCCCAAGGCACGCTGCGGTCTTCGGGCACTGAGTCTCGGGGGGCTGCTCCGGGAGGGCAGTAGTGCCTGCTGCCCGTCCTCACAGTAAAGAGAGGGTGACGAGACCATGCCCAGGGCTTGCCACCCTCACCCCAAAACCAATCATTCCAGAACCTTCCTCTGCTCTGAAAACCTTTGGGCTTGTCCCTACTGATGCCTAACCCAGGCAGGAAATCCCATCTGGCTGTGACTGTATCTACTTTTAAATTCACTTTTCTTCAGCTCATTTGGACTGCGAGGGCGAGTTCCGTCTTCCGAAAGTGCCAGGCTGCAGCCTGACTTCAAGGGGGGCGGGGAGTAATCTGACATCTTCCTGGGTTTAACTCAACTTTCTCTCTTGACGTTTCCTCTTCTTGTGGATTCTAAAATTAAAAAGACAAAGTGAAGAGAGGGCAGAACTCACTCTTGGGGGTTTGGGAGTCACGTGTGAGAATGAGAAAAGTGAGAGCCGGCTGTCCTCTCTGGCTCTGGCTCACCTCCCTCGCCCTGCCCTCCCTCCCGCCCTCCCAGGAAGCCTGCTGGGAAGGTGGCAGGTGTGGCTCCCAGCTAGCGGGGACGCTCAGGAGCATCTGGGGGGCTCCACTGAGCATCGTTATCAGGGAGGTAGGTGGTCCTAGACGCATAGCGATGTGGGGTCCAGGCTCCGTCTGGAGAAGGCTTCCGAGTTCCAGCCGTGGCTGCTCCTACGGTTTCTCCCCAGCGTGGGTCTTCTGGTGCCGAATCAGGTGCGAGCTCCCCCGGAAGGACTTGCCGCAGAGGTTACACACGTAGGGCTTCTCCCTGGTGTGGGTCTTATAGTGCTCGATGAGGGCCGACCTGTGCCGGAAGGCCTTGCCGCACTCGCAGGCGTAGGGCTTCTTGCCGGTGTGGATCCGCTGGTGCTGGATGAGCGCCGAGCTGTGGCAGAAGGCCTTGCCACACTGGCAGCACTCGTAGGGCTTCTCCCCGGTGTGGATCCGCTGGTGCTCGATGAGCGACGAGCTCTGGCTGAAGGCCTTCCCGCACTTGTGGCACTTGTAGGGCTTCTCGCCAGTGTGGGTCTTCCGGTGCTCGATGAGGTTGGAGCTCTGGCTGAAGGCCTTCCCGCACTCTTCGCACTTGTAAGGTTTCTTGCCCGTGTGAATGCGCTGGTGGCGGATGAGGTGCGACCTGTGACAAAAGGCTTTCCCGCAGAGGTCGCACTCGTGGGGTTTCTTGAGGGTGTGGATCTTCCGATGCTGGCTCAGGCCCGAGCTCTGGTTGAAGGACTTGCCGCACTCCTTACACTGGTAAGGCCTCTCTCCCGTGTGAATCCGCTCGTGTTTTCGGAGACTGGAGCTCCGGCTGAAGTCTTTCCCGCATTCCCTGCACTCGTAGGGCCTCTTCCCCGTGTGGATCTTCTGGTGCTGCGTGAGGGCCGAGCTCTGGCGGAAGGCCTTGCCGCACTCAGGGCACTCGTAGGGCTTCTCCCCCGTGTGGATGACCTGATGGCGGAGCAGGTGCGAGCTCTGGCTGAAGGCCTTGCCGCACTCACAGCACTCGTAGGGCTTCTCCCCGGTGTGGATCACCAGGTGGCGGAGCAGGTGCGAGCTCTGGCTGAAGGCCTTGCCGCACTCACAGCACTCGTAGGGCTTCTCCCCGGTGTGGATCACCAGGTGGCGGAGCAGGTGCGAGCTCTGGCTGAAGGCCTTCCCGCACTCGCGGCACGCATAGGGTTTGGCTGGCTGGGGAGTCGTCTGAAGGGCGTGAGGTCCCGAGTCCCCGCTGCCTGTGTCCTCGTGATCTGGTGGGCTGGACTCTGCCCCGCTGTGGACTCCCTGGCACACGCTGAGGTCGCGTTTCTGGAGGAGGGTTTGGCCAAAGAGCTCGTCATCCTGCGGTCTGCGTACTGCGGGGGGACTCTGATGCTCAACAGGGCTTGAGCACAGACGGAAGTTCCCCTCGTAATCGTCTCGTCCCTCGTCTTGCTCCCCAAGAGGGATCTCCTTGTAGATAACAGCCATTTGCTCCAGACCCCTTTCCTGAAGAAAAGGGTCGCCGAGGTCCTCCCCTGGGAAAAGTTCTTGCTGCGTCTCTATCCTGTCCTCGAACGAAAAAGTCTCACCAAACTTGGTGGCTGGGGGAACCTCCATGGTGGACCTGGTATCAATCCCTATGACTGTGTCTTTAAAAATGCTTCTCTGTGGGCCGGGCTTACTGTTCTCACGATCTGAAAAGAAGACAAGGAATGTGGTCGAGTCAGAAGTCAAACAGTCATGTCATGAGTCTCCTTCTGTCAGAATCCAGGGTGGCAACAACCGCTCGAGTATAAGACACGACCTGGCCCGGGAGATGGTGCCAACTCAGGTAGAGAAAGGCTTCATGGACCAGAAACAGGGACAAGGCAGACAGACAGACAGACACGATCGCGTGCCACGCCGTGATATCTAGACTCTGAGGGCGGAGGATGCACACAAGGATGCGCTAACACAGGAAGTAGAGTCCTTGGGAAGGGAGTGAGACTCCGGCTACTGGCTGACACTGGGTGGGCTTTATTCGGAGAGAGACAGCATCCCCCTCCTACACTAGGTTAACGGCACCCCTCACTCTCCACCAGAGCCTTGGGAGTCAGCCCAGACCCTCTCACTACCATGCTACCTGTCCCTTCCCGCCCACCTCCTGAGGCTGCATAAAAACGGTCTGTGTTCCTGTCTTCGCTGCCACTCTGCAATGAGTGGTCGAGTATGTGGGAGCCCAGCGACCTAACCATTATGCCACCTGCTGGTTCTCCATCACAAAAATCTCTTTAAAAAAAAAAAATCACTTTGACTGGCTGGACCAGCTGGTGACATAGTGGTTAAGGTGCTGGACTCTCACATGGTCAACCACTGTTGGAGTCCCAGACCTAGCAGCTTAAAAATCACACTGGGCAGGGACCAGCATTTAGCATAATGGCTATGTTGCTGGACTCCCATGTAGTCGACTGTGGTTCGAGTCCTGGACCCAGTGGCTTAAACTCACACTGGGTGTGTATGCGTGCGTGCCCAAGATCCCGAGAGGAGAATGGAGGAGAAGGGATTGCGGCGTGGCCATCCCTCCTAGGAGGTGATTTCTCGCTTTCTGTCTCTCTGTCTCTCTCTGTCTGTCTGGTGAGTGCACACGCCCTATAGCAAAAACCTCTCAAAAAAAAAAAATTACACTGGGCATATGTGCGTGTGTACCCAAAATCCCAAGAGGAGAATGGAGAAGGGATTGCAGCATGGCTATTCCTCCGGGAAGTGATTTCTCACTTTCCCTCTCACTGTCTCTCTCTGTCTCTCCAGTGAGCTCACGTGCTGCATGGCAAAAATCAAAAAACAAAAACCAAAAGGAAGCCTAATCACTTGGCCTCTCTTTCCCCTTCCCCTCTTAGCAGCCCATAATCTCCAACCCTTCCAGGCCAGCCTATGCTTTTCCTTTGCATCAAGCCCAACACCCCCATTGTTGCCCAGGTTCCCCTCTTCCAGCTCCACCCCTTCTCCCTCTGGCTTCGACCCTCTGCCTACTGTGGGTCTAACTACAGGCTGACTCTGACCAGGATCACATTGCTCGCCTCCTTTTTCCTGCTGCACTAACTTTCCAGCCGCTAACTTCCAACTTTCTCTGCCAATTCCAGCTAAGACGCTCAACACTGCCAAGGGAAAAAAAATCATACAACTATGTATGGCACCGTGACAAATTTCAAGTTTCCAATGTTCGCTGGGACCTCAGCATTTGGCCCTGGCATTCAATAACCTCCTTTGTGCCAAACCCCTCTCTTCTCAGCAATCACCTTCCCACCCCATCTGGCACTGCTCACCAACGCCTCCTCCAAACCGCTCATTTCAGAGGTTACAAATTGGCAGCCTGGGGATCCTGCCACAGACCCGTTTGGTTTGGCTCTCAAAGAGCTGGGCTTTTCCTTTTCCTCGGTTGCCAATATTGAAAACTCAGTAGGTTTCTGGCTTTCACTCTTTAAAAAAGAAAGAAAACAAAACTATTTTTATGAACATGTAATAAGGAGCAATGTGATTTTTTAGAACAAGAGGACGACGTGTCATGATTAAATCAGGTGATGTAGCACACCCTTTCATCATGACTTGTGTTAAGAACAATGGCAATATTCTATTAGTTACTTCCTTCAAGAAGGAAGTTAGCCAATTGTTGCTAACTACATCCCCACTGTATTGTGTAACACTAGAAACTGCCCCTTCTCTCTCTCTGCAATTTTGTTTCCGTCCATCCACATCGTTCTATCCCTCCCCTAATCCTTCCTAGGATTCTGGCTTTATCTCGACAATGTGGCCATAGTGGGCCCACCCCTTCATGAACCGACTCTGCCCCCTTGGGTACCTGAAGGCTTTGATCCAGCCTCTCCCACGCTCCCACCCACCCCTCTCCACCCCCTGCTTCATTCCCTGGGCTTCTGGAAGTTTTCTCGCCAACGTCCATGCCCTCCGCGGCCTGCCCGGCATTTATGATCACCTGCTCTTGCCCCACCACCTGTTAAACTCCGGTCCCTCCGAGGTTTCCCACGCCCATCATGTAGCCCCTGCACGCCGGAGTCTCCACGCTGGATAAAAAGTTGGCAATGGCTGATCTGTCTTCGATAACGTGTCACATGTTTTATGGGGAAAAAATCCAAAGATTTGGGACCCCATACTTCCCGCTTCTCTGGGGGCCTTTCCTGGGTCCTCCTGCCTCTGTCACCCCGTCCTCGGGGAGACCCTAGGGCCCCGGCACCGGGCAGAACCACAGTGCGATACGGTTTCCTGGCGGGAGGCCCGCACGCGCGGCCCAGGCAGCGACGCGGCGCCCCGACAGACTTTCCTCCCCGATTAGGGACACCCCCACCCGGGGCCACCGGACGGACAGGTGGCCAGGAGGAGTCGGGTCACCCTGGCGGACGCAGGGCCACTCACCTGGCCGGGGCGGGGCGGCACTGGCAATGGCTGATCTGTCTTCGATAACGTGTCACATGTTTTATGGGGAAAAAATCCAAAGATTTGGGACCCCATACTTCCCGCTTCTCTGGGGGCCTTTCCTGGGTCCTCCTGCCTCTGTCACCCCGTCCTCGGGGAGACCCTAGGGCCCCGGCACCGGGCAGAACCACAGTGCGATACGGTTTCCTGGCGGGAGGCCCGCACGCGCGGCCCAGGCAGCGACGCGGCGCCCCGACAGACTTTCCTCCCCGATTAGGGACACCCCCACCCGGGGCCACCGGACGGACAGGTGGCCAGGAGGAGTCGGGTCACCCTGGCGGACGCAGGGCCACTCACCTGGCCGGGGCGGGGCGGCACACCTGGGCCGGGGCAAAAAAAAACTCGGAGCCCCGCCCCCGGCCAGCAGGCACTTCCGGGACCGCTCTAGGCCGCGCGGAGGTCCGGGCGTCTCGGTGGTCGCGACGCGCAGGGCCTCGCAGGGCTCAGCCACCTCTCCTCCCTGGGGATCCAGGACCCGGACCAAGATTTTCTCTAATCCTCACAGAGGGTCCGGCCGTCCCCAAAGCGCTTCCTGGCTGTGGGGAAAACAGAACTGGGCCGGTATTGACGGGAGTGCATGGGAGGAAACAGGCCTGGAGGGGCCGAAGGTTGGAGGCAAACCACCGTGCAAATGCTACCCGGGCATTAGGGTATTTAGCAGGAAAGGAGGGTATTCCCAGGACGGTCTATCCAGGCTACAGTCCTAGTTTGGTGATTAAGGCACTGGCACACTGGTTGATGGCAGTTCAAGTCCCGGACTCAGCGGCTTGAAACAAGCAGGCACTTGTGCATGCCCGCCCCAAAACCTGAGAGGAGAATGGAGGAAAAGGTATTGCAGCGTGGCCATCCCCCTTGGGGGGTGATTTTTTGCTTTCTGTCTTTCCGTCTTTCCCATGAGCACATGCACTTTCTAGCAAAAATCTGTTAAAAAAAAAAGGCCTAAGTCTGGCTGGCACT